ACTACCAGAAAACCAACGGTAAAGTATGATAGCGCGGGATGCTAAATCAAAAAGCTCCTGTGCTAACTCTCCAAATCCATGACTGATAAAGAAAACCCGAAATTCGTATAGAAAAAAATTTGTTTCACGTTCCAGATCCAATTTAGATGGAAAGGAAACAAACCTTATTTGTTGGATTCGGCTGTGCTTGCATTGTTATGTCCACTTCCTTAATGATACTGTTCAGCTGCTGAGTGAGTTGTTCCACCTCTTTGGCAGTCTCCGGCAATGACATCACTCTATTCACCGGCTCCATAACATTTGCCGATGCCTCGTCAGGAATCGTCGGTTTGAAACCGCAAATTCGGCTAAGATAATCGATTGCGCACAGAGAACATCAACGGTTTCGTAACATCAAAGTTCACATTATTTTTACCTGCTAAACTGGTCATAAATAGCCTGATGTTCTTTCCTTGTGGGACCAACTTGGATAGCAATCCTAGGTGGCAGCTCAGCTTGAATCTTCTCCATTGCAGCATCATGCCATTCAGCACCTTCACGTCGTACGGCAGCTCGGCGAGCCGCTTCGGTTTCTAGCCGCTTCTCCAGTTCAGCTGCTGCCTGAAATGTTCACCTCGCGCACTGATTCATCTTGTTGACTCACAGTTTAGTCACGAAAAGTGTCTGATTAGCAGTTTTTCGCTCATAGAAACGCAATGCGTTTATACAAACGTCCAAACAATCGATAAATCATTCACGCATTAGGAAAAAAAGACAAACCTTTTCACATGCTGTTTTCACAATGAAGTTCGTTGTCAGTTCGATATTATCTTGTGTGATTACTCTCGCCGCTTCTTCGATCATCTTCGACTGAAAGAGCTATTATCAGATAAAAATGGCTATAAATGGCTACGTCATAGAGTCAAACAAGTAGATAATTGACCAGCGCTCACGGACCCTCAAACTCTGAGGAAAATTGAAAAAATAAATGGAAACGAGATCATTGCATTCACTAAACAATACAACTAAATCCTACTGAAAAAAATAGAAAAAATGCGGCTTATATTTTTTCCACTGCGGAGCAACTCTCCTACCACCGCAAGAGGATTTCACAGTTTAGAAAGACATACATAACAGAAAAAATTTTCAAAAAGAAAAATTGCTCGCAAAAAAGTTTTCGTGAACGCATAATTTTCTCACACTTCGAGAAGAAATCAAACCAACCAATTCAGTATTCGATGTCCGCAATGAGTTCGTAAACGATTGCTGTAGCAATGATATCATCGTTCCGGCAAGCGGATCACGACATGTGATCATCGCCATTCCGGCAGTCATTGCTCGCATCTAAAATTTGAATGTTATGTAATTCAGAAAAACTTCTTAACAAATTTTCACAGAAACAATAAGAATTACCATGTGATAGGCCGCTTTTTTCATGTTATCTTCATTGGGATCAAGGGCGAAATCCTTGCGTACAAGTGTTTCCGTTACGATCATGGCTATTTTTAGAGCCCTTTCAGCAACAGGACCTGGACATAAGCTATTTTAGACCAAAAAATAGAAAGCTGTAAGCCTTACCAATAAGCTCCTTGATAGCTTGTGTCAGTGCCGGACGGACATGATGTTTCATATGCGGATGAAGCTAAAAA